TATAGGTCACCTACTACAGAATACTCCCTTTATAGGTCACCTACTACAGAATACTCCCTATATAGGTCACCTACTACAGAATACTCCCTATATAGGTTGGCTACAGAATACTCCCTATATAGGTCACCTACTACAGAATACTCCCTATATAGGTCACCTACTACAGAATACTCCCTTTATAGGTCACCTACTACAGAATACTCCCTATATAGGTCACCTACTACAGAATACTCCCTATATAGGTTGGCTACAGAATACTCCCTATTTAGGTTCCTACTACAAAATAATTCATATATCAGTCACTTGCACCAGAATACTTTCTATAGAGGTCACTTACTCAAGAACATTCCCTACATAGGTCATCTGCAATAGAATACTCCTTAAAATATATATATACAAAGGTCACCTATTCCAAATTATTTCACCTACAAAAGAATACTCCCATTACATTAAGATAACTGTCACACAACTATTACTGTTTAATTATGAGGTGTTGTGGATTTTTGTTGTTGTAATGCTATGGTGTTCGAAATGGAATGTTTAGCAATCATCATAGCTATAGAGGGACACATTGTTTACCTGTCGCTATTGTAGATATGGGATCACGTTCCTCTTGACCCACTTTATCACTATTTATGAATAGAACCTTTGAATGACATTATTGTTTCCGTTTGTGTTACAAGTTAATGTTGGGACTAATGACCCACATACAGCCTGTTTACAGTTTTGTTCCCTATAACACACAGGTTACATGGGGTAGAGGTATTACATAACCCCCTCTAATAAAACAGTTCAGATAGGAACCGCTTCAGGGTGTTCCTATTCTGAGTGAGGCAGGAATGTCAATACTTTTTGAAGATTTTACAGATGTATCTGCTAGACCAGTGAAGTCTATACTGAACATGTTAAATACAGATGTAATTAACTAGTGGAGATTAAATAGATGTATCTAAGTGTGAAAGGGCGAAAGTCAGATATCTAGACCTGTGAACGTTACTCAGATAGATCTAGACCTGTGAATGTTACACAGATATATATCTAGACCTGTGAATGTTACACAGATATATCTAGACCTGTGAAAGTTACCCAGATATATCTAGACCTGTGAACGTTACACAGATATATCTAGACCTGTGAAAGTTATCCAGATATATCTAGACCTGTGAAAGTTACCCAGATATATCTAGACCTGTGAAAGTTACCCAGATATATCTAGACCTGTGAATGTTACACAGATATATCTAGACCTGTGAAAGTTATCCAGATATATCTAGACCTGTGAACGTTACACAGATATATCTAGACCTGTGAAAGTTACACAGATATATCTAGACCTGTGAAAGTTACCCAGATATATCTAGACCTGTGAAAGTTACCCAGATATATCTAGACCTGTGAAAGTTACCCAGATATATCTAGACCTGTGAACATAACACAGATATATCTAGACCTGTGAAAGTTACCCAGATATATCTAGACCCGTGAAAGTTATCCAGATATATCTAGACCCGTGAACGTTACACAGATATATCTAAACCTGTGAATGTTACACAGATATATCTAGACCTGTGAACGTTTCACAGATATATCTAGACCTGTGAAAGTTACACAGATATATCTAGACCTGTGAATATTAAAGAGATATATCTAGACATACACTACACGCATGCATCTTGCACACAGGGGAGGCCGTCCTTAAATGACCTTAGCTGTTAATAGGACGTTAAACAAAATCAAACAAACAAACAAACAAACAAACACAGATATATCTAGACTTGTGAAAGTTATCCAGATATATCTAGACCTGTGAAAGTTATCGAGATATATCTAGACCTGTGAAAGTTGCACAGATATATCTAGAGCTGTGAAAGTTATCCAGATAGATCTAGACCTGTGAACGTTACACAGCTATATCTAGACCTGTGAAGGTTATCCAGATATATCCAGACCTGTGAAAGTTATCGAGATATATCTAGACCTTTGAAAGTTATCCAGATAGATCTAGACCTGTGAAACTTACACAGATATATCTGGGGGGTTGAAAGTTATCCAGATAGATCTAGACCTGTGAAAGTTACCCAGATATATCTAGACCTGTGAATATTAAAGAGATATATCTAGGTTATACAGATGAATATAGACCATGCCAGTGAAGGTGATACAGATGTATGTAGTCGGTACAGATGTATATTTAGGCCTGTAAATGTTATACAGATATAACCAGGCCTGGGAATGTTATATGGATATTTATAGGCCTGGCTAACCAGAAACAAGGCAGGAAAAGTGAACAGCACGCCTCCTCAGCTGTTAGGGCTACAACAGGTGGTTATCTATACCAGTACAATTATAATGTTAATGTGATTGGTTCAGAGGTGCCAGGGTCGAGCTGGTACTACCTCAGTCTTACATACCTTTACCCTGATACTAACATGGTACTATGTAGATTTATCTGAGTGAGATTTTGCTACATCATTATGTACCACAGTGAGTTGTTACTACCTCAGTCCTATGTAGTGTACCAGGGTGAGCTATTACTACCTCAGTCCTATGTATAGTATACCAAGGTGAGCTATTACTACCTCAGTCCTATGTAGTGTACCAGGGTGAGCTGTTACTACCTCAGTTCTATGTAGTGTACCAAGGTGAGCTATTACTACCCAGGTATAATCACTTCTATTTAGTACCTGCTCCAACAGGGTTACCATTTACATAAATAGTAACTATTCTTTAAGTGTAGGCACCTCCTCAGGGTTACCCTCAATGAGTATAACCCCTACCCGATTCAGTAACCACTCCCCATACCTAGAGTAACCTGTTTCTGAAGTGTTCTCCCTCAGAGGCTTGCCTCCTATGTACACTTATACATTGTATTTCAACATGAAAAGATTTTGTAATATATTGAAATATTTCAGGTACAGTTCATTCCACTTTGTGTTGAGGTAGGGATCTCTATATTTAGTATCACACTGATAACAAGGCAGGAAATGGCCATTTATATTGCAGCTGAGATTTTTGGCCTCTGGAAATTTCCACTAAAGTGTTCCAAAGTCTATGTTTTATATGTTCTGGTGATATATAAAATGAGTGTGGTATAGAGAAATGGCTGACGAAGCAAACTTCACATTTCATTCTTTGTTAAATGATGTTACCTCTTAAAGCCTCACCTAGTAAATATTATTTTGAAAATCTGAAAACTCCTGTCTAAAATTATTGATTTTTATTAAATCAGTTTGTGCTTCTAAATCTGTATGATGCAGTGAACACATTGTTAACCCTCTCACAACATCCAGAAATGTTCCCTACATTGATAAACAGGTAGTACCCTACATTGATAAACAGGTAGTACCCTACATTGATAAACAGGTAGTACCCCACATTGATAAACAGGTAGTACCCCACATTGATAAACAGGTAGTACCCCACATTGATAAACAGGTAGTTCCCCACATTGATAAACAGGTAGTACCCCACATTGATAAACAGGTAGTACCCCACATTGATAAACAGGTAGTACCCCACATTGATAAACAGGTAGTACCCCACATTGATAAACAGGTAGTACCCCACATTGATAAACAGGTAGTACCCCACATTGATAAACAGGTAGTACCCCACATTGATAAACAGGTAGTACCCCACATTGATAAACAGGTAGTACCCCACATTGATAAACAGGTAGTACCCCACATTGATAAACAGGTAGTACCCCACATTGATAAACAGGTAGTACCCCACATTGATAAACAGGTAGTACCCCACATTGATAAACAGGTAGTACCCCACATTGATAAACAGGTAGTACCCCACATTGATAAACAGGTAGTACCCCACATTGATAAACAGGTAGTACCCCACATTGATAAACAGGTAGTACCCCACATTGATAAACAGGTAGTACCCCACATTGATAAACAGGTAGTACCCCACATTGATAAACAGGTAGTACCCCACATTGATAAACAGGTAGTACCCCACATTGATAAACAGGTAGTACCCCACATTGATAAACAGGTAGTACCCCACATTGATAAACAGGTAGTACCCCACATTGATAAACAGGTAGTACCCCACATTGATAAACAGGTAGTACCCCACATTGATAAACAGGTAGTACCCCACATTGATAAACAGGTAGTACCCCACATTGATAAACAGGTAGTACCCCACATTGATAAACAGGTAGTACCCCACATTGATAAACAGGTAGTACCCCACATTGATAAACAGGTAGTACCCCACATTGATAAACAGGTAGTACCCCACATTGATAAACAGGTAGTACCCCACATTGATAAACAGGTAGTACCCCACATTGATAAACAGGTAGTACCCCACATTGATAAACAGGTAGTACCCCACATTGATAAACAGGTAGTACCCCACATTGATAAACAGGTAGTACCCCACATTGATAAACAGGTAGTACCCCACATTGATAAACAGGTAGTACCCCACATTGATAAACAGGTAGTACCCCACATTGATAAACAGGTAGTACCCCACATTGATAAACAGGTAGTACCCCACATTGATAAACAGGTAGTACCCCACATTGATAAACAGGTAGTACCCCACATTGATAAACAGGTAGTACCCCACATTGATAAACAGGTAGTACCCTACATTGATAAACAGGTAGTACCCCACATTGATAAACAGGTAGTACCCCACAATGATATACAGTTAGTACCCCACATTGATAAACAGGTAGTTCCCAAACTTGATAAATAGGTAGTACCCCACATTGATAAACAGGTAGTTCCCAAACTTGATAAATAGGTAGTCCCCCACATTGATAAACAGGTAGTACCCCACATTGATAAACAGGAAGTACCCCACATTGATAAACAGTTAGTACCCAACATTGATAAACAGGTAGTACCCAACATTGATAAACAGGTAGTACCCCACATTGATAAACAGTTAGTACCCTACATTGATAAACAGTTAGAGACCCACATCTGAATAATTCGTTCAGAATCCAGGACTTTTTATACTCAGACACTTTTGTTGATTATTTCACCTATGGGTTTTTTCATAAAAATCCTGCAATGTATATTTTTTTTTTTACAGAAATGCTTAACCAAAGCTGTGGTCATGCCAGAAAAAAACAGTTTTCAATGTGTTGTCACAGTTGTTGGCAGTGGTACAGGGATCCCTAAGTGCTAGGTAAGTGTAAGAGTTGTGTAAGTGCTGTGCAAGAACTGTATGTGTAAGTGTAAATGTTGTATTATAGTTAGTGCTGTGTTAGTGTAAGTGCCATGCAAGTAATATGCAAGTGCTGTATTAGTGTAAGTGCCATGCTAGTCCTAAGCTCTCCCCTAAAGATTGTAACCATAGGTAAAAGGATCATAGGTAAAACTTCCATGTTTCCTCAAAGGTCCCTTCTCCCTTACAGCTGTACTCTACTCTATCATAGAAGCATGATTGGTGTTTTATTGTCATATACACAGGTATCACATATTTTGGACATAAATATATATTCACATGTGAGGACTGAGGAATGAAGGGTCATGACTGTTTAGATCTATTAATAGCCTGGGTGTGGCTGGCACAGGTGACCTATATATCAGCTAATACATATACATAAATTAGATGTCCATAATGTACCTGTATATTTCAGGTATATCACCTAGTATACTATAAACAGAAGGTAACCTCCTAATATACTCAGGAACTCTCCTAATATACTTCATACAGTAGAAAATGGGGTCACCTGAGACATCATATGACCATTACAATTGTATTATGACCATGGATCCGAACCCCCAGGGGCCTGAGGGGCAGGGCCTTTAAGGGTCAAATTGGCTAAATTTTCAACAATCTTCTTCTTCAGAACTAGATATGCTAGTATCAAAATAATACACTCAATGGATGGACAAAATCCAAGAAGCTTTATAAAAAAATTGGATTTCATTACTCCTGAATCACCCATCCAGTAGTAAATAAAATGATCCAAATTATATAAATAAAATTATAAATTTCATTACCCTTGATCACCTATCCCCTCCTCTCACCACTAGGGAAGGGTTACATTTCATAAAAAAATTCATATGAAGGGAAATTGTATTTAACACAATCTGTATACAACAATTAGGTATAACATGCATCTGTATACAATCAGGTATAAGATATACCTGTATACAGTCAGGTATAACATACTGATATACAATGTACATTCAGGTATAATATATACCTGTATAAAAGCAGATATATGATATATAGATACATATATACAGGTAAAAAAACACATGTAAACAATTAGGTATGGTATATACCTGTAAACATGTATGACATATTCCTATAAACAGTCATGTATAACATGTACCTGTATACAATCAGGTATAATAAATACCTATATACAGGTAGCTTATAGCCTTATGTTGAGAGGGTACATGGGACACTGTGTATAGGTAACCTAGTCTGTTCCCACGCTGTGTTGGTATCAGGCTAGTGAATGCTTTCACTATTTACATAATAACATGCAGAAGAATTTTCCTAATTTGAGGGAAAAGGGCTTCTCCACTTGGCCTCTACCTGTTGGTATGTCGACCACAGCCATGACTAAGGCCCCAGCCATCTATTGGGGGACCACACTCATCTATCTTACACTGTCTTCTCTCACCTCAGGAGCATGCATCGCTTGTGTATAAGGTGGTTGTAGGAAAACCTGGACTAGACTGTATAAATAAATAAATTTTAGCCATGAAAAGATACCTGGACTAGACTATAAATAAATAAATTTTAGCCATGAAAAAATACCTGGACTAGACTGTATAAATAAATTTTACCATGAACAGATACCTGGAATAGACTGTATAAATGGATTTTTAAAATGTCATTTTTGTCCAGCTTTACCTTGTGTCAAGTCTGTCCTTTTTGTCTAGTTTTACCTTAAGTTAAGTCTGTCCTTTTTGTCCAGTTTTACCTTGAATCAAGTCCGTCCTTTTGTCCAGTTTTACCTTATGTCAAATCTGTCCTTTTTGCCCAGTTTTACCTTATGTCAAGTCTGTCCTTTTTGACCAGCTTTACCTTGAATCAAGTCTGTCCTTTTTGTCCAGTTTTACCTTATTTCAAGTCAGTCCTTTTTTTCCAGTTTTACCTCAAGTTAAGTCTGTCCTTTTTGTCTAGTTTTACCTTGAATCAAGTCTGTCCTTTTGTCCAGTTTTATCTTATGTCAAATCTGTCCTTTTTGCCCAGCTTTACCTTATGTCAAGTCTGCCCTTTTGTCCAGTTTTACCTTGAATCAAGTCCGTCCTTTTGTCCAGTTTTACTTTATGTCAAATCTTTCCTTTTGTCCAGTTTTACCTATGCAAGTCTGTCCTTTTTGTCCAGTTTTACCTTATTTCAAGTCAGTCCTTTTTTTCCAGTTTTACCTCAAGTTAAGTCTGTCCTTTTTATCTAGTTTTACCTTGAATCAAGTCTGTCCTTTTGTCCAGTTTTATCTTATGTCAAATCTGTCCTTTTTGCCCAGCTTTACCTTGAATCAAGTCTTTCCTTTTGTCCAGTTTTACCTATGCAAGTCTGTCCTTTTTGCCCAGCTTTACCTTATGTCAAATCTGCCCTTTTGTCCAGTTTTACCTTGTGTCAAATCTGTCCTTTTTGCCTAGTTTTACTTGTGTCAAGTCTGTCCTTTTTGTCCAGGTTTACCTTGAATCAAGTCTTTCCTTTTGTCCAGTTTTACCTTATGTCAAGTCTGCCCTTTTGTCCAGTGTTACCTTGTGTCAAGTCTGTCCTTTTTGTCCAGTTTTACCTTGAGTCAAGTCTGTCCTTTTTGTCCAGTTTATCTTGAATCAAGTCTGTCCTTTTTGCCAAGTTTTACCTTTAAACAAGTCTGTTCTGTTTGCCCAGTTTTACCTAATGTCAAGTCTGTCCTTTTTTGTCCATTTTTACCTGGAATCAAGTCTTTCCTTATGTCCATTTTTATCTTATGTGAAGTCTCCTTTTTGCCCAGTTTTACCTTTGTCAAGTCTGTCCTTTTTGTCCAGTTTTACCTTGAGTTAAGTCTGTCCTTTTTGTCCAGTTTTACCTTGAATCAAGTCTGTCCTTTTGTCCAGTTTTACTTTATATCAAGTCTGTCCTTTTGTCCAGTTTTACCTTGTGTCAAGTCTGTTCTTTTTGCCCAGTTTTACCTTGAATTAAATCTGTCCTTTGTCCAATATATGAATAATTTATGTGTTGTAAAAAGATAAACATAGGTTGATTTACTATGTTCAAAAATGTAAGTTGTTATGTTATTTTTTCCAACCATTCACGGAATTATCACCCATTTGACCTGTTCATGATTCATCTGTCACCCCCTAGGGTCTGTTTCTCTGTCACCCCCTAGGGTCTGTTTCTTCTGTCACCCCTAGGGTATATGATTTCTCTTTCTCCCACCATTCACAGGTGTGTCTCCTATTTTAGCGGGGAAAGATCAGCTTGACAACCCAACCCCTAGAGGGAGATAGCCTTGTTCCGATTAGCACGTGTTCAATTGTGAAGTCATTAAAATGTGTCACCGGCATCAAAAGCGAATGACAATATTCCTACCCACATGTGTTTTTGTTGGCAGAATACTTTCGGTGGAGTTGTGACTGAAATAATAGGATGGGAGAAAAAATAATCATCCCCTACCTTGAGGGTGTAACAGAGAAATCTCCAACCCTCAGGGTGATTGTTTTTGGTTTTCTTACCTGAGGCTCTGCCGAAGATTAGACAACCAAAAACATCACCCGTCGTATCACACCTTGAAGGTAGAGGAAGATTCTATTAATCTATATCAGACGTAAGTTGTGATGTTTATTATCTATGTTTGAAGTAACTTGTGCAGTATTATGAATGGTATGATGCATATGATACAGATTTATTTTAATATATGCATTAGCGGTACTGCAGTTTATGTGTTGTGTATGATATGTAGGTCACCTCTGTCTGAAGGTTTTATTAAACTTGTTCTTAGGAAAAGCATGGTTGATTTTGAAACATATGTATGGCAGTATGCCCAGAGTACCTTACAGAGGAGGCATGTGTCCCAGGCTCCCTAATCCATTTACTACTACACATGTTTGTGTGGTTGGGACCTCCAACCTCGTCCCCATTCCTCCAGGGTTTACTACCCAGCTCAGACGGCCTCCTCCCATGGTAAACCACAACTTCATTCATAAAAAAGTCTCAATGAAACCTCACAGTAGTAGTAACATATGGGATCACATTCATAAGAAAACTTCATGTTTGCAAAAAATGTGAGATGAATGTGGAGAAAGGGAGTATTTAGAAAATGGTTTGTGTCATTTGACTGCATCAGTAGGCAAGACTTGGGCAAATTCTGCATTAAAAACTTATTAGCTCCATCCAACCTTGATAATAAACCACCAAATATGTGTCTGGTTACCACAGAACCAGCTGGCTTGTGGGTTAGCTTTTGATGCTTATCACTACAACAGGAAGTCCAATCAGCACTGCATAGTTCTCTAGGGGAACCCTGCTACCTTCCCTGCAGCCACCACAAAAGGTTAAATCCACTTTAAACAGATATTTTAATTGGACCAAGCATGGAAGTTGTTGAGAATGGTTATAATTGATGGTATCCTGTCGGTGTATAGCCTGTGACAGTCTCCGCTGGCAACTCTACAACTTCAAACATTCATTGCCCTGTTTCTAAAATAATTGTTGGTACACATGTACACTGACCAGAAAAATTATAAGTGACGTTTTATAATCAACCATTCACCTTAAAAATCAAGTCACAGTATTTTGTTAATCATTCATTGTTTTGTAGCAATTGTCATCTCCTTTACAATCTTCTCTACATCAGAGATAACCCTATACACCTTAAAAACCTCCCTAGCAACAGAGCTAACCTTGTACACACTAACAACCTCCTCAGCAACAGATATGACCCTATACACCCTAACAACCTCCTCAGTAACAGAGATAACCCTATACACCTTAACAACCTTCTCAGTAACAGAGATGACCTTATACACCCTTACAACCTCCTCAGCAACAAAGATAACCTTATACACACTAACAACCTCCTCAGCAAAAGAGATGACCCTATACACACTTTCAACCTCCTCAGCAACAGAGATAACCTTATACACCCTAACAACCTCCTCAGCAAAAGTGATGACCCTATACACACTAACAACCCCTCAGCAACAGAGATAACCTTATACACACTAACAACCCCTCAGCAACACAAATAACCTTATATACACTAACAACCTCCTCAGCAACACAGATAACCTTATACACCCTAACAACCTCCTCAGTAGCAGAGATGACCCTATACACACTAACAACCTCCTCAGCAAAAGAGATGACCCTATACACACGAACAACCTCCTCAGCAACACAGATAACCTTATACTCACTAACAACCTCCTCAGCAACACAGATAAACTTATACACTCTAACGACCTCCTCAGTAACACAGATAACCTTATACACACTAAGAACCTCCTCAGCAACAGAGATAATACACACTTACAACCTCCTCAGCACCACAGATAACCTTATACACACTAACAACCTCCTCAGCAACAGAGATAACCCTATACACCCTTACAACCTCATCAGCAACACAGATAACCTTATACACACTAACAACCTCCTCAGCAACAGAGAT